TCATTAGACTCAAGGATTCCAAAGATGAAAAAGGAATTATATTTTGAGTATGATTGAAGATAAACAAATATATATATATATATATATATTGACACTGCAAATGTCAATGTCAATTCTGTATACGTAAATAAATATGTGTATATATATGTATACACTACGTTTATTAATATTTTGTTTGGGCAGTATAGAAGTAGTTAAACACTGAAAGGATAGCTGCTGGAAACTAAATTAACTTGGCATGTCTAGAGAAATGAAGCTAACGGACTAAAGAATTGACTGTAAAATGCAGATCTTGCTACATCGGATATCATCAATTGAGGCTTTCCAGCATTCCCGTGTTTATTTTTCATGAGTTCAGCTTCATAGAAGACAAAATATAGAGCTGAGGTAGAGTGTGAATAAAAAGGAGAGTGTTTTTGCATATCTGGGCCTTAGACTTCACAATACAACGTCTTCACTTTGCCCTCCAACACCTTAGGAATACATTTGATTCATGCTATCATGCACCTTCAGAACTAATACAAAAATCTAACCACACTGGGTCAAACCTAGGCAAGAATGTATCAAAGACTTCGCCCAGTTGTAGAAAACTTCTCCCTTTCATTTTCCATTTAAGGGAATTTGGTAAATCTTCTTCATGCACCCTAGCTCTGAAAACATTACCGGAGACAATTGGATCTAGAGAAGGCTTTTGTACAGGCGGTCAGAAGACCCCACGACATCTGGAAAGGAATACATAGTGGCAATGGGGCTAGAGGGCTGTTCCTCTTGGAGACCAGGGTTTAGTAGGGCCAATTGGTGGTAGCAGCTTGATACTAGCCGCTCTCGCGCCTCTTGTGGCTGGGCAGAAAAGCCAGATTCGGTATACGAAACAGGCTCGAGCCCCATCGTGCCTAGGTGCTGGTTTTCGGTAGTGACGACTCCCGTCAGGCAAGCCGAGTCACTCGGATGGGTGAGGAGGGAAGCATAGATGGCCGGACTCTGGCCACCTGGTGTTGGCAACATAGGAGGAGGGGGTAGCGGCCTGAATGAGCTCTGTGGAAGATCTGGCTCCGGAGCAGCCTGATCTTCATCGTGGTCAGGTGGCTTCGCCTTACTGGAACGGGTACTATTAGCCAGATTGGTGCTCTTTTCGTTCGCATTTTTC